CCCACACTATTGTCTCTATCCCTTGGGCTGTGTATAGATGCGTATATGTTCTTTGGTTAGTATATTCCCATTCCCTCCTCCCCGTCCCCCCTGAGTCCTGTCAGTCTGTTACGTGCATCCGTGCCTCTGGACCTATTTTGTTGTCAGTTTATTTTGTCCTTTAGATTCCATGTATGAGTGAGATCATGTGATGCTTGTCTTTCTCTGACTGGCTTATTTCACTCAGCATGATACTCTCCAGGTCCTACATGCTGTCTCAAAGGGTAAGAGATCCTTTTTTTTTTTGTTTTTTACAGCTGCATAGTATTCCATGGTGTAAAAGTACCACAGCTTTTTAGCCACTCATCTACTTGATGGGCATTTGGGCTGTTTCCAGATCTCAGTTATTGTAAATAGCACTGCTATAAACATAGGGGTGCATATGTTCTGATTGGTGTTATGGGGTTCTTAGGATCTGTCCCAAGAAGAGAGAATGCTGGGTCATAAGGCAGCTCCATTTTTAATTTTTTGAGGAAACTCCATATTGTTATCCATAGTGGCTGCACCAGTCTGCGTCCCCACCAGCAGTGTACCAGGATTCCCTTTTCTCCACACCCTCGCCAGCACTTGTGTGTTGATTTATTGATGACAGCCATTCTGGAAGGTGTGAGGTGATACCTCAGTGTAGTTTTAATTTGCATCTCTTTGATTATTAGTGACTTCGAGCATTTTTTCATATGTCTGTTGGCTATCTGTATGTCCTGTTTAGAAAAGAGTCTATTCAGGTCCTTTGCCCATTTTTGAGTTGGATTGTCTGTCTTCCTGGTGTTGAGTTGTATTAGTAGTTTGTATATTTTGGAAATTAATCCCTTACCAGATGTATCATTGGCAAATATGTTCTCCCATACAGTGGGTTCCCTTTTCATTTTGTTGGGGGTTTCTTTTGCTGTGCAGAAGTTTTTTAGTTTGATGTAGCCCCATGGGTTTATTTTTTCCTTTGTTTTTCTTGCCCTAGGAGATGTATTGGTAAAAATACTGCTGTTTTCTTCTAGGATTTTTATGGTTTTGCAACTTACGTTTAAGTCTTTTATCCATTTTGAGTTTATTTTTGTGTATGGTGTAAGTTGGTCTAGTTTTATTTTTTTGCATGTACCTGTCCGGTTTTCCCAACACCGTTTATTGAAGAGACTGTCTTTACTCCATTGTATGCTCTTGCCTCCTTTGTCAAATATTAATTGATCATACTGGCATGGATCAATTTCTGGGGTCTCTGTTCTGTTCTGTTAGTCTATGTGCCTGTTTTTGTCCCAGTACCAGGCTGTTTTGATTACAATGGCTTTATAGTATAGTTTGATAGCAGGTATTGTGATCCCTCTTTCTCAAGAACAAAGTTGTTGTGGCTATTGGGGGTCTTTTTGGTTCCGTATAAATTTTTGGAATATTTGTTCTAGCTCTGTGAAATATGCCATTGGTATTTTAATAAGGATTGCATTGAATCTGTAGATTGCTTTGTGTAGTATGGACATTTTAATGATGTTAATTCTTCCAGTTCATGAACACAATATGTGCTTCCACTTGTTTGTATCTTCCTCTATTTCCTTTTTCAGTGTCCTTTAGTTTTCTGAGTATAGGTCTTTTACCTCCTTGGTTAAGTTTATTCCCAGGTATCTTATCTGTTTTTTGGTGCAATGGTAAATAGGATTGTTTTTTAGTTTATCTTTCTGAGAGTTCATTATTGCTGTAAAAAATGCCATTGATTTCTGGATGATAATTTTGTATCCTGCTACTTCTCCAAACTCATTTATTAAATTTAGCAGTTTTTCAGTGAAGTATTTAAGGTTTTCTGTGTACACTATCATGTCATTTGCGAATAACGACAGTTTTACTTCCTCCTTTCCGATTTGGATGCCTTTTATTTTTTTCTTCTTGTCTGATCACTGTGGCTAGGACTTCCAGTACTATGTTGAATAAGAGTGTTGAAAGTGGACATCCCTGTCTTGTTCCTGATCTTAAGGTAAATGCTTTTAGTTTTTGCCCATTAAGTATGATTTTGACCGTAGGTTTGTCATACATGGCCCTTGTTACGTTGAGGTATGATCCTTCTAGTCCCACTTCGCTGAGAATTTTTATCATAAGTGGGTGCTGGATTTTGTTGAATGCTTTTTCTGTATCTAATAATACGATCATGTGATTTTTGTCTTTCAGTTTGTTTGTGATGTATCACGTTTATTGATTTGTGAGTACTGTACCAGCCTTGCATCTCTGAAATAAATCCCACTTTATCATGGTGTATGATCTTTTTAATGTATTGGTGGATCCAATTTACTAATATCTTGTTGAGGATTTTGGTATCTATATTCCTCAGGGATACTGGCCTGTAATTTTCTTCCTTTGTAGTGTCTGTATCTGGTTTTGGAATGAGGATAATGATGACCTCATAAAAAGAGCTTGGAAGTCTTCCCTCCTCTTGAATTTTTTGGAAGGTTTGAGGAGGACAGGTGTTAATGCCTCTTTGATTGTTTGGTAAAACTCCCTTGTGAAGCTAGCTGGTCCAGGGCTTTTGTTTGCTGGTAGTTCTATATTTTTGTTACTGCTTTAATTTTATTAATTGTTATCAGCCTATTCGGGTTTTCCGATTCATCCTGATTGAGTTTTGGCAGATTGTATGTTTTTAGGAATTTGTCCATTTTACCCAGGTTGTATAGTTGTTCAAAGTATTTTGTTACAATCATTTGTATTTCT